GAAAGAGTATACATACTAGCATATGCTAATGATTTTCAGCTGTGCCTTACAGACGCAGCTTGACATTTAATAGCCCTTGGTTGACTTTTCCTCAGTGACTTTGTCTAGGTTGTGTTTTAAACCCACCCAAACTTCTGGAATCCAGAACATTCAGGAATAATAAGTAACATAGACATGCTGGTTAAAAATGTATTTCCTTTTAGTTCAAAATGCCTGCTTCAATTTCATTTGTTTCTGCATAGGTCTTGTGCCAGGTGAAATAATGGACAGTCATTCCCTACTCTTCTTCCCGGTGCTGTTCCAAGCTTTATATAATTTAATCATAGCTTCCTCAGGATTACACGTCTAGTCAGTCAGTGGCAGAGGAGAAAACAGAATCCAAGAGCTCTGAATCCCAATATCCACTTCTCTCATTAGTATTTTAGAAACTCCAATTAATGTTGTGATCTCTTTCTTTCATCACCAACAAGGTGATCTTAAAATGAAACAAAAAAAAAAAAAAAAAAAGAGATGAATATACCTGTGCAGCCGCTCTTGCTGGGTTTTGGCTTCTTGCTTTGTCCCTTTGGCCTTTTCCTCCAATGCAGCTACATTCTGCATCAGCTGCTCTCTTGCTGTGGCTTGGATAAAGGGCTGTATCTCAGACACAAGGCCCTGTAACTCCTTCAAACGATTACTGAACTGACTTTCTGTGCTGAAAAATTCAATGTGGTTCCTTAGGTTCTCCTCAGAGTTCTCAACATCAAGACCATTTCTTGCTAAATGTAGAAATTCTTGAGCATCTTCAAGCCAGTCATTTGCTGTCTGCATCACTTGGTAGTATCTTTGGCAGAGGCTATATAATTTATTCAGCGTGGCCTGAAATAAAAGGTAAAATTACAGGGAGGGCCACAGACATAAAGTTCACAGCAGCAACAAAATTATCCTCTGCTGAGAGTCTGGATTTTGCCCATTCTTGCCTTCTTTTCTTATTATTATACCCAAAATACAGGTCCAGAGAGACTACATGGAAGTAGGTTTTGAGTGAATTTTCACTTCTACATGCAGGTATAAATGCATATTAAGGAAGCCTTTTCCCCCTTCCTCCCACACCCCTCAAGTCGCCCATGGGAACAGGCCACAACCTAAGTCATTAAAAAACCCCAAACAACAGGATTATTTAAAATCAGTCTTTTTATGATGATTACAGACATCAAGCCACAGAGCCATATTTTTCAGCTTCGTGAGAGAGAAACTAATGACACTTTGGGTACACTAACCTGTCTCATGTGTATAGCTTCTTGAACTTCACCATCTAGTTCTGTCAGCTCAGCAAGAGTGTTTTCCAGGTCAGCAGGTATCAGCTCCTTTGCTTTCATATATTTCTCTTTCTCTTTATTGCTCAGTGCATTCATTATTCTCAGGCTTGACTGCACTTCTTCCTGATGTATCTGAACTTTTCGGATTTCTTCTTGGATGCTCTGCAGTTTGAGGTCCAAACTTAACGTTCCATTAAGTTCCGTTTTCACCCATCTTAACCAGTCAAGTGAGCGGCAGATTTCTGTCTGGAAGTCTATGCTTTGCACAAGTCTGTTCTCGCAGTCCATCACTGTGTCACCAATGGCAGCATGCAAAGACTTTAGTTTCTCTTGCCAAGACTGTACTTGGTGATTTGTTGTCTCACATGCAGATGAGTCAAGCTGAGGAGAAAGAGCTTCTAGATGTTCAGTTATTTGCTTCAGAAGACTCCCCGAGTCTTGCAAGCTGCCCACCAGAGAATGGTATATTTTCAACTTTTCTTCTATTGGGAGCGTTTCTTCATTTACCTTAATATGCTCCTTCTTCACTGCCTCTAGTTGTGCCTCAAACTGCATGCACATTTTCTCATGCTCTCGGCATGCTTCTATTGTGTCCTCCAAGAGGTTGATTTTCTGTTCTATTTGCCTCTTCAACTTGTGATATACTGTGACAAGTTTTAACATCTCATCTGATTGCCATGGCTGGCCAGTGCTTCGAAAGGCCTCCTTCTTCTGGTTTAGTTCATCCACTGCTGCACCAAGGCTCACCACTTCACCTAACAGATCTCTGTAGGCCTGCTGGAGTGACACAGCTTCTTTGGCTAAAACAGCAGCTGGAGCTTTGTCCATGTTAATAAACTGATCTTCTAGCTCAGTCAGAGCTTTAAGTGTCAAGTCAATCAGAGAAGCATACTCTTTTCTGGCATAAATTGCTTCCTGAACCTTATATAATTTTTCTTTTGCCAGAGCAGTGACAATATTGAATTGCTGAGGGAGAATGTTAAGTTTTTCATCCAGATAAGAATGATCCACTTCATTAAGTGATGGTAGGATTTCTTGGCCATCTCTTTGCAGTGCAAGTAACAGATTTTCATATTCTGGAGATTGCTCAAGAATCTGTTGATATTTTGCCAACTGTGCATATAGTTCAGAGTTACTATTCATTACATTGACTTCTGGGAATGTGACAATATCAGCTTGTTTTAGCCAATGGCAAGCTTTATCCAAGTCTTCTTTGAAATATTTCCTGGAAACTATATTTTTCTCCAGTTCTAACAATCTCTGGTTACACTTTTGTAAAACAGTGTCATACACATTCTGTAGTTCTTGCAGTTTACCTAACACTTCACTCTTTTCTTGTTCTGTTGCTTCTTTCATTAAATCCCTTCCTTGAGCCCACAACCCCATGACTTCATTTTGACAGGCCTTCAGGTTAGCCTGGGCATTCTTACAAGTCCTGATCTGTTTGTTCACATCTTCCGGCAACAGACAAATGTGTTCCGGAAATGTTACCTTCTTCTCATGCTGGTGAATTTCGTTTGTAGCCTGAAAGACTGCCATAAGAAACTGGGTCTTTTCAGACAGTGCTTTATTCAGGTGCTTTCTCCTCTGGCCAACCAGATCGCTGAGACAATCTACATGGTGTTGTGCATCAGAAAGTGCTTTCTGCAGCTCCTGCCTTTCATTCAGCCCTAGGTTGGTCATCACCCTGTCAGCATCCTTCACAAGCGTCTTCAGAACAAGCTGTTTGGCTTCAAGCTCACTGCAAATGGTAAGATGATCCATGAGAAGACTCTGAGCCAAATCTGGAGGAGGGCTCTGTTTAAGAGCCTCTGAGATACTAGGTTGCTGCTCCTCTGCCCATTCCATTAGTTCCTGAAATTTGGAATGCACCAAACTGAGCTCTTCCAAAGTTGAAACAGAAACTTGAATTTTCCTTTTGACAAGGTCCTCCAGCTGAGTCCAGCGTTGCTCGAAATGACCAAATTGCTCCTTTACTAATTCTTTGTCATCAAGATTCAGGTGTTCTATCATCTTCTGTTTCTGATCTTTCAAATCTTCCAGAGCAAATCTCCTTTCCTGTAGTGCCAGTGACAATTTTTGCAAAGCTTCAAGGTGCACGTTTGTACTTTCAGCATCAGATCTGTTATCAAAATGGACAGGACAGAAATTAATTATTGGATCGTATCTCAGGATAGACTTTTACAAGAGGTCAGGATGAGTTATAAGCCCACTATATACTGAAATCAATACGATATAAAAACCTACAGTTTTCACATTCTTTTGAAGGTACCAGTCTTGAATATCAATTAAAAAGTTTTTTTATTCCTCTCCCTTTAAGCTGCAATATAGCCATCAGGCTGACCATACAAATTAACATGAATACTACAGAGTATACTGGTTATATTGCACATACAAACAACAAGTACTGAGGCTGAAGTGAATCTTGTTCCATAACAGTGACAGCAGCAGTAACAGACTTTCACAATTTTACACACAGGTGGTGTGTTTACGCTATACAAAGCGGCTGCAATCATTTAGCAGAAGCAACTGAACTTTAATATAATAGTCTAATAGATAAAACAAAATATCACAATGAAAAACACACATGAAACACAGTAAACACAAATGAAAGATTTCAAATAAAATAGTGAAAATGCTTGAAATATCAGAAAATGCTATACCTGGAGATGGGATCAATCAGTACTTGCCTTAAAGACAAACACTGAAGATCTGGCTTCTCAAACTCTCTTTATTTCAATACAAGTAATTGTCCTATAATTAATAAGGGAGACTTGCTTTTAATTAAGCATGGAAAAAGGGAATTTTAGTGGATCCAACTGAGAGACACTCTGTAAACAGCTCTTTCAGCATACATGTGTTAAGTCAGCTTTGTGCGTGCTACTATGTTTTTTTACCTAGCCAGGTTGTCCCACTCTTTTGTGAGCTTTTCCAAGAAAACTTCAACCACATTCATGCAATCATGATAATCCCTCGTCCTCTGCAGATCCTCCTCCCTCTGTATGAGCAAACTATGTGCCTGAAGGCAGAGGTCCAGCCACTGGTTGCTCAGCTCTCCTATTTCCTTGTGTTCAGGTGATTCCTGTCCTTGGGTTAGTTTGTTCATCTTCTCAGTCACAGAGGTAAGAGCTGACTGCTTAGACTGCAACTTCTGACTGAATTCCTGAAAAAGATACAAGTCAAAACCAATATGGTGGCACCTACTCAAAATTATAAGATGGAATTTAAATAAACACTCTGAAATAGATAAATTGTGTAAAGACTAATTATCTGCCCAGGCAAATGCTGTGCAGATGTAAATTGGAAGAACTGCTTAATCCCCTCCCCTAACCTTTCTCCTCATCTTCTCAGGTGAGGACAGGTTGGTTATAGGTGTGAAACCAAACCAGAGCAGTTTCCAAGTGCCAGTGATAAACAGAAATCATGACCGAGTCACACCTTGCTGTCCAGGCTTCCAGACTAGCACAGCTCCCAGCATACACTAAAACATGCAAGATAGTCTGGGTGTCATGAGAATTCATTTTACCAGTACTGTTTCTAGCTCATTTTTTTTTCCTTTTCCTTTTTCATTAGAGACCAAAAATAGAAAGCAGAGTCCATGAGTTAGTAAGCCCCCACATCCATACTTTGTTTTGTTCCTACTTCTGTAATAGTGACCATTATCACTGTCATTATTGAAACAAAGCCAATGATTATCTAGGTATGATTGCTATGTGAGTTAATAATCCCAGTAAATAAGAGTCCATCTACACACACATTTTTTACCATATAAGATGTCACAGAGAACCCAAAAAAAGAATATACAATATACTGACAACTAAAACTAACCAAATATTTTTCAGCACTTACACACTGTCTAGGGTAAAGATAATCTTTTCCCAAATTCTAGTTCCAATGTAACTAAACAACCATGCCCAGCTCCAGCACTTTGCTGGGATTATGTGTTTTCACTGAGGGCTGGTAGGAGTTCTGGAGAGTAGATGTTACTGCCCAGCTCTGCCTCATTCCTCTTTCTGACTGTTTCAAAAAGCTAGGCATCTTCAATTACCAGGGCAAATTCAAGGAAAAAAATACACATTGTGCCACATCTGACAGTACATCAGGTGCCTGCCTTTGATAATAATCCAAAGTTCCCGACTGGAATAGTGAAGAAATACAGACTCCTGCTTCTTCCTGGACTCTAATGATAGCTAGTGTAACAGCTTTCAGTCCACATTGTGCTGAGGTATCTTCAAGGGCTATGACTTTGTTCAAACACTTGTGTAGAACAGACATGAAGAAGTGCTGTTTACTTTTCACCTAGCCCCTAGCATACCAGAAAAAGAATACAAGCAAAATCGAGACCAATAACGCAAACCCCAAGCATTTCATCATTTACCAACGAAATAATCTGTTTTCCTGTTTCTTCTTGTTACTTTACTGATGTTTGTGATGTGTGCAGAATGCCCATAAAAATTCCCTCATCTGTAAATGAGTAAGAATAAATGAAGATCTGAAGGCATTTGTCTCACTAGTTCAGGTAAACTAAACTGGGTTTCTATCATACCCATTCTCCAGTGCTGTTCAGAGTCAGCATTGAATACTTTCCTAGACTAATTTTGAAGTAGATCTAAATTATTTAGAAGCATTGGAATCAAAGAACTTAGCAAGCACAAATTGCAGATCTTATCTTCAGGTCCACTGTGATCAGCAATAAGCCTATTGAAAGTGAAGGCAAATAAGAACAGTAGGCCAAAAATTGGCTACTGATAAAAAAACAAAACAGAAAAATATTAAAGTACAGTGTTTTGCCTTCTGTGTCACACAGTAGCATCAATAAGGAAACCCTCTTTCCTCTGTCTTCTCTGCTCTCGCTTAGAACATATTAGCAATTCTACGCAATATTTGCATATAATACGAATTATAAAAGTGTCAGCCACAGGATGAACTTTTGTCTTACCTTCTGTTCTTAACCGAAATCCTCCTTACCTTAACCTGGAGTACCATATTCTGGGCAATGTTTATCTCCAACTCTGCCCGTCTCCTTTTCAAATTCTGTAGTTGTTGATCTGCATCCTGGAAATACATCCAGAGCTCAGCCTTCATTTGTTTGACCTCTTCCCAACCTTGAGTCAAATACTGTGAGTGCATTATCTGTTGCTCAATCTAGAAGAAAAGAAATGGAGTAGGAATGCTTTAATGCAGCTATTTTTGGAGAATGGAGGACGAATAGCATTCTTCCTCTGAGCACAATACTGTACTAACAGCAAATTTCTGCACTACATCCTGAAGGGGCTAATATTATCCACAAAAAGAGTCTTAACCTTCAGAAGTCATAAAAATCAGACCTATCAAAGGAAAGCTGTGGAGAAAAAAAAAAGAATTATCATTCACCCTTGAGAGAAGCAAGTATATGTACGAGTGTGCGTATTTCAAAGTGTTCTCACTCTTCTGTTAAAGCTTAAGTTAACTGTATGATTTTGTCTATTGCATGCCAAGAATACTGCTGGACTGTGCCCTACATGCCTTTGCAATGACCAAATAAAAACTTAAACTAAACAATTGCATTTAATTTGCTTATCCCAGTTATTTTGCCTATATGCCTTTCGTAAAATGTCAACAAGAAGAATGCTGACCGGATCTGCCAATAAGAAGAATGCTTACCCATCCATCACCTTAAACCAATAGTCACACAGCTTTTTTTGCTCCAAATACAGCAGTAGGGCACCTTTAAGGTTTAGACACTCAACGAGCTTAATATGTCTCTGTACCGTCTGTGATTTCTTAAAAATGTTTTGCTGCTTTACATATAAAAGGAGAATCTTATTCAGATGTTTGCGATACTTTTTAGCTATTCAATATTTGGACTGCCTTTTTTATTTTTATGGATTACTTGGATTTGTACAATTTCCTTCTCTGGTATGGAATACTGTTACTGTATATATTAGATTTTTACTCTTGGTAGAACTAGTTTCAAAAGTTTGGTTGTGAGTGTATGTGAAACTAAAATTTTCATGTTTACAACAACAGGAATGCTCATAACGTTTCTTTTCTAATAACTTTTATGTTTATAATTGTATTCTAAAACCAAGAATTAAGCTACTTTAAAACTTAAAATTGAGGTACACTTCTATAAATTCATATGCTGAAATAGATGCACTCTGACTTATGAGCTGAACCATCATAATTTTTTTATGATTATTATAATTAATATTTTAGTATATGCTAATAAGAACATCAGTCTATTGTTGAATAAATAATAACAGTAAAATATGTCTAAGCTTTAATAAAACACAGAGAAGAATAGATTTAATTATGTTGTATGAAAACAAATAATTTGGATCATGTTTTCTTCCACAGAACATTATTTGTGTGGTTTTAGGCCAACATCTTGTAACGTTGCCCAAGTACCTTTAGCAACATTTGTCATGTGTCTTTGTATTACTACCAGGACAGCAATGTGTGGATTTAATAAAAAAAAAAAAAGAGAAAAATATTTCTAAAATAAATACTTAAGATGAAAGAGATGAAAGTAAAAAGACATTTCTTCAAACCATTACCCAATATAACCTTTTTAAAAGAGGACAGATCAAGGCAGTTAAAGCTCTAAATAGGATTAAAAGCAGATTGTTGTGGTTATCTTGTACCGTTTGTTTTGTTTGTTGAATATCTGCTGCTGTACTCTTCACTGTAGCATCTGACAGATCACACATGGAGCACAGAAGATCCAAGTACGTGTTGGCCTGCTCCTGCAGAGCCCGGAAATGTTTCACCTGAGGGAAGACAATCCTCAAATAAACTCTGAGACTGTGGAAATAATCTCTTACTTTATTACGATCATGCATTTTAGTATTTTTACTTTAGCTTATTATTTTCAAAAGACAAAATGTAGACATATGCTATTTTATTGGGTAATGCTGCTCTGTCGTAATTATGGAAAAGAGTAACCTAACTGATTATCACCCAACTAGCAAAGCACATAGTGACATATGCATGACCTAGCTTATTTCTTTATAAATAAAGCATTGGTTAGATGCACACTGTTTCAACAAGGTGACTTACTTTCCCACGGTGAATGGGAAGCAGGGCTTTATCTGATTATTAAAGTGTCAAGTTGTCCATAACTATAAAATTATCCAGTGTCTGATAGATCAAGGGTGATCCAACCCAGTAGCATAACACACTTTCCCACACCTTCTGAAACCCTCCCAATGTCCCCAATATCTACAATTACCAAGATCAGACAACACGATGCTGTTGAGGGTTCTTGCTCTCAACATTGCCCATAGGAGCTCACCTCTCCCTCTGAAGAGTTTCGTCATCCCAAAAGAAAATGATGATATTAGTGTTGACAAGCAGGGCAATAACATACCTCCTAGAGTCCCAGAGAGGGAGGTGTGAGTGACCACCTAATGCAGAGGGCCAGCTGTGGGTCCTTGTGGGCAAAAAGTTGGACACAACAGCAGTGTGCCCTTGTGGCAACCCCAAATTACTCTGTTAGCAAGAATGCAGACAGCAAGCCATGGGAAGCAGTTATTCTCCTGTACTTAACTTGTCAGGCTGTGCCTGGTGCATTTGGCCCAGTTTCCCTCTTCTCCCATAGAACAGATACTGGCAAACTGGTGCAAGCCCAGCAAAGGACTGGGGGAATATGGGGCTGTAGTATGGGGCATTTGGGCAGGTCTGAAGGAACTGGGTTTGTTCAGCCTGGAGAAGAGAGGCTAATTGCAGTCTGCCATTAATTAAAATGGTAGGGGTCAGGTTGGGGCAGTACTGCGAAGACAGAGTCAACCTCTTTGCCGAAGTGACCAGAAAAAGGACTAGAGCGAAAAGTGACAAGCTGCAACAAGAAAATTCTTCTTAGATATGAGGGAAACTATTTTTCACTCTGAGAACAGTTAAGCACTGGAATGGGTCCCTAATCCTCAGGGATGGTCCGGGCCCTCAGTGCACCAAAGGATGCTGCAACCTCTATCCCCCCTCTCTTTGGGGTTTGGCTGCCTCTGCTCAAGGCCAGCCCTGACTTGGCTCAGGTGGGACCTGGCCAATGGAAAAACATTCAGAAGCCTTCCCCCTTGCTCGAGAACTGCATGTAAGCTCAGACTCTCACCCACCTGTAGACCTCACTTGAGCTACACTATAGGTGCATCTGTGCCTGGCTGCTCCTCCTGGTCTTGCCTTGCTGCCCTGACCTTCTGCCTCCACCTGGGACTGGCCTCATCCCTACAGACTTGCCTGGTGATCACCAGATGGTGACTGACACCAGGAGGACTCTGCTCTTTTCACTTGTGGGCTGCAGGTCTGCACATCATTGGAAAGGTGCTGCCCTGCTGGCCCCACTGTCACCCCCAGCTCCCCCCGCCCTTGTGAAGCTGCCATCTGTAGTATTTCAAGGTCTCTATTAAGCCATATGGTGGATGAGACAGCCCTGAATTCCAGCATTTTTAGTACCATACCAGTTTAGTTTGAAAACAAGGTACAAATCCAATGTAAAATACATTGTTACTAAGAATAATCAAGAAGCAAAGAAACTATTCTTAACAGCTGATGTGGACTAGAGGTAGTTCTACGCTCTTAGGCTGAAAAATTGTTTTAATTGCCTGATAACAGACTCTGTGTCCATGGTACTATGAAACCAGGTCTCATATAGCAACATTAGTAGACCAATGGGCAAGTGGACAAGTAGGAAGACACAACCTCTCTGCTAAACACACCTGTGGAGTATCTGAGCAGGTTTATCTAATTAGCCAACTTTTTTCAGGAAACATTTCTAAGCATTAAGCAGCACTAGCAAAAGCCCTGTGTGATTTTTCACCTATGGTTATTTTTCACTGAAAGTATTCCTTTTGGAGCTGGAAATAAACAACAAGGCTACAGAGCCATCTGAGAAGGTCAGATAGAGTATCTAATTTCTATTCATATAAAGCTCTTACTTGAACTCATATCATTAAGGATAACCAAGCATTTTCAAGTGCTGAACTTGTTACCTGTTTAACTGCATCTGCCAGGCTGAAAGGTGGCCAGGTAGTTGGCTTTAGCTCTGACTGCACTGTAGACAGCCAAGTCTTGCACTGTTGTAGGGTATCCTGATGATTAACATGCTTCTGGAGTTCATGTTCCAAACTCTGGTACACCTAAAATAAACATTTTGTAAGGTCATCGCATTTTCAAACACCATTATTGGCTCTCTTCTCCCACCTTGAAAACTGCAGATAAAACAGAATTATTAAGACTGTGGTTATTTCAGCCCTTGTACATAGAAGTACCAAGGGATGAAAGCTCCTTAAGCTCTCACTGCGTCTTGCTAATTTGTGGAGAAGGACAATATCTAAGGCATGGCTTCTGGAAAGAAAAAATAAAGATGCAAATGAAGAGCATTGTCTCTTATTGTTGTATTCTTGTTCAACATTTTGCCATTGATCTAGTATGAGGTTTTACCTACCTCTACAAATCTTACTGGCTATGAAGTCTACTTTTTGGGGTTTTGTTTTGAGACTATGCTGACTTGATCTCCTAATTGGATTAAGAGAATGACCCTGCCAGCCCTTCTTAACTGTATATTCTGGTTTTACTAAGAGAGAGTATTTCCTAGCACATAATTAAGACCCGTTACATACATATGCAATCTACTAAGAGTGCAATTTGCTCCCTAGTTTTTGAAGCAGGAATAGTTCTAATTTCTTTGCTGCAGCTGCTCAGAAGCTAGTGTAACATGAAGGTAGTGAGGGTGTGGAGAGATTAAGGTAAGAACTGATAGGCAGCTAGTTTTGCTGGCTGCAAGGCAACACTTGGATCACAAGGAATTCAACTGTAGCACAGTGATGATGAAGTCCTATATCAGTAACCTGTAGGCTCAATTTAATGGAAAGAGTCAAAAGAGTTTTACACCATTTAAAGAAAATAGAAAAATAATAATGCATGTTATTCTTAAATGGCATAAAAACATTTTTGAAACAAGACTTACTCTTTGGGCTGTGCTACATATGGCAGAATAGCTGTCCTTTGTCCCCTGAAGATGGCTTTGTATGTTTTGCTTAAATTTTGGTTGAAGATGTTCTGTGCATTGATTGATCAAGTAATCGCCTTTACTCTTAAGGCTGTTCAAACGATCTTCAAATCCTGCAATTTCTTCCATGATAGCCTAAGAAATAGATAAAATACTTTTGAAGAAATATTTTGAACTTAAAACATATCCTGCATCACAGCTTTTTAAATGAGATTTTGTTTTTTTCCCCTTCCTTAGACACTCTTTGTCTTCAGATTTGGAAAAAAGTTTTCAGACAATGTGTATTGTCACAGTCAAGCTATTACAGTGTACACTCATTGTGAAGTCATTGCTAAAAATCTGTACATAGATATCCCACAGAAACATCAATAGCGCTGTCATAATGTGCAAACATTATATGCGCATGCCCCAAAACTACCCTTAATCTTCCTTTGTTGCATCCTCTCCAGGGTTCCACCAACTTCTCTTGTGTCTAGTCACAATGACTAAATCTGATGCTGAACCATATATTATTCCATAAGCTCTTACGCTGTAGACAGTCTTCTCCATTGACTTTGGTGGAGCCAAATTTTTATCTAAGGAGGTTACTTAAAGAATAACACACTAATTACAATGAATTAAAAGATTTCAATATTCACCCTTGGAATATTCAGTTTCAGGGAATGGTGGGGAGGGTTGGATTTTGCTTTCTTTTATCTTCTAGAAAGCATCAGTTATCAACGTAGTGAATGATTAGCATTAATAGCAACCATAACAATACCTTGAATAAAAGCAATGGAGGAACTGTTACAACCTAATAGAGGAAAAAAAATATTTGAAAATCTAAAATATTTTTTTATCTTTAAAAGTGCCAGAGCAAAAAATGCCTCAGGAGTAAAATGACCCTAGCCTGCTTTTTGTGGTCTATTTCCTGGGACATGTGAGCAAAAATCTGACACAGAATTCAGACCAGTGTACAACAAAGCTCTTTGCTCTTCTCATCCAAGAAACAGTGCTAACAACTAGGCAGATCTGTTAACTGCATTAATGACACTGATGCTTATTTATATAGTTTGCAGTAAAAGGAATAAAACAGGTGAATGACAAGTAACTAGAGCTCTGGAGTGGAGACAGAGAAGCAGAGACATTCTATTTGACCGGACAAAGGAAGTTTACCCAATAGCAACCCACCTTGTGGTTAGCTAGTTGCTGAGTGATTATTTCAAGACTGTTACTCTCCATGAGGTCAGGGCTGACCAGCCTGCTGGACATATGTAATAACCATTTCTCCCCTTCTTGCAAATCACTATTGTAATCCTCATGTTCTTTTACTCTCACTTCTAAAGTTTCAACATATGCCTGCAGGTCCATAATAATCAAAATTAAATATTCAGGTAATGACAAGAATTAAAAAAAAACCAAAACAAAAACCCAAACCAAAAACCACCAAGAGCTTGAAAGCAGAGAGTTATCTTCTAAATTTATATTCCTGTGAGGGACTCTCACATAATTAGACTGTTAAGGAAGACATCGAAGGGACTCCCTGTGTGAATAAACTCTGTGCTACTGAGCAGTATTTTCACTCCAGACGAAATACCATACTTTGAAGACTGAAGAAAACACTGAGGATCTCCTTACTTTAAGAAAAGGAACACTGTCAACTTGACATTAAGTCCACTTAGAAACACTTATTACGTGCTCTTTGAGAGACTGCAGATGACCTACCAAATGTTATGGTTGGGTCCCTGCTGCTTACAGCCTTTGCACGTACGTATTGCCTGTGATTGTGGTAGGCAAATTAAGAATGTACACATTGAGTTAAAATGTATTCGTTCTTTTTAAGAAAGATTTTTTCATAAGTTTCTCTACATTTAAGTCATCAACATGATATCTAATGCAAAGATATCAGTTTTGCGGTACAGATCAGAGGAATGCCTGTAAACTAAAAATCAACTGTGAAAAAAATAAAATCATCTGCTATTGGTGGATGGATTGGCAATTAAAAGGTACTTAGGTCAAACATAAGTACTAACATGGTTTGCAGAGCTTATCCTTGTTAGGAGTATAACCTATTAAAAGCTTTAGGAATAATCATACTTTAGGACTTATTTAGAAGTATTAGATCTTTCAAAGTACTACATACATGTGGACTAATGAATCAATGTTAATTAATAATGCCCTTGCTGAATTAAATTATATCCATCTTGCCGTTCATTTTCTCCAATGACTTCCATTCAACAACTAAACTAGATTAAACAGGGTTTGTGTGAGATCTAGCAGAAACAAGAGACAAAATGGTATAATTTAAGGGCATCTGTCCCTTCAAGAAATAATGTCTTTTGAAATCTATTCAAAGCAATTAAAAATAGTAACGATAGTACAAACTACTCACTGATGTATTTCCCCTTAGTGCTATGAAGACTTCACCGGCCACACTCAAAATTCATTTCAGCTACTCGTTAGCTTTATTTAGGTAGAAGTTCTTTCCATACTCAAGAATCACTCCCCGCCTCCCCCAACCCCCCGGGGAAAAAAAAAAAAAAACCAAAACCCAAAAAAACCCAACAAAACCCAAACACAAAAACGAGTAATTAAATCTAACTGGCTCTGTGTACAGAGTGTGACATGACAGCATGAAACAAAGAGTCAACTTCTTAAAGAAGGGAAAAAATATAGCAAATTTAAAGAACCTAGAGCTTTCTTCCTGACTTTTTACCTTTGTTGTGCTGCAGAGTTCCTGGTAACTGGCCTGAAGGTCTTGAATGTTGTTCTTTAGAGTCGCATCATTCACCAGATCAAAAAGTGCTTCTCCCTTTTCAATCACTGATTTTATTGAAGGCTCATGGGACAGAACAGTCTGCTGTATGGACTACAATGCAAGCAAGAATTAATACATATATATATTGAACACTGAAGATCTATTTCACTAACTTCCCTTTGATCTGGAGCTCCGCCTTCTATCTTGGTATATATCCTTTCCAGATGAGAAGAACTTTGCTACCAGTACAGGACTATGTTTCTCAGCCATACCCTGAGGCAACAACTTTGCAGACATCTGAGAGCACTTGCTCCTTTTGTGAGTGGCTACTAGCATGGCTGATAATCTGGAGCTGATGAAGGAGAGGGAGTTAGTATGTGTGAAGGAGCAAGTGCTAAGGATAAAACTTGCTCAGAGGAACAAATTCTGCAAATAGGTGGGAAAGTATCACCAAAGCTATCCCCTTAATAAGGCAGTATGCAGATGAGCGCATAAGACTGTACTCCTAAGAGTATGCAATCTGATCTGTTAGGTCCTTGTGCCACTGGCTCAGACAACATGGCACATGCCAGCATCTATCAAATGACAGTGAGATAACAGCTCCCCAAACATGCAGAAAGCAAGCAGACAGCTATGACATATGACTTTGAGTATTGAAGCCAGTGAGGGGTAGTGAGCAGTTTCAGGGAGAAAGCTTTGATGCTGTGAGGGTACTGCTCAGCAACAGCTGAAACATTTGTTTATTAGCAACACTCTTTTAACCACAAATGTAAAGCACAGCACTATATGGGCTCCTATGACAAGAGTCAGCTCCATCCCAGCCAGACCCAGTACACATCTTATGAAACATCTGTAAACCTGGAGTATTTTACAAAACCATCACTAGGAGAAGCAATGGGGTTGTGAATTTTTTCTACTCATTTTTATGACTGGGGTGGGGGGGGACGACCCACTTAATTAAAATCCTAACTAAAAACAGAGGAGGCCGTAGCAGCTGACTGACTTAGATGTCTGTTGAGCTGGAACGTTCAGCTTTAACCAGAAAGCTTATTAAGCCAACGTAAACAGAGGCAATGTCTGCAGTGAAGAAAGACCAACTGACTTCTATCCTTGCTTAAACAGCAGCTAACTCTGTTGATATCAATGGAATTATATGTGTACTCATAACAGAATTTTGCTCCACAACAGGAAATTTTTAGATGTGGAAGCCTTATTAGGACATTCACATTTCAAATCCAGGTGCTCACTCTTGTTCGTAGACGCAGATATCATGCATCTTTTCACTTTGATGCTGATCTGGACATCCAGATCAGAGACATCTCATACATCTATTGAGGAAACTTGAACAGACACCTGGATCAGAGGATTGACTGTGAGTCATTAAGTCAAAATTGATTCAATAGTACAATGGTATAACCCCTTTTTACCTTGTATTTGGACAACTGGGCCTTCTTCTCATAGAGTTCACTCTTTGGCTCTGCTGGAGCATGTAACATGGCTTGATACTCTGTGACCCACTGAGTCTGTGCCTTGTACTTGTCTGAGAACTCCTTTGCCAGCTGAAGGCACTTCTCCGAAGTCATGTGCTCGTTCCTGATGGAGCCAGCCAGCTCTTCAAGCTGTTCCACATGATTACCAATTTCTTTTCTTAACTGGTCAACTTCATTTTCTTCCATGTACTTTATAGCTCGCTCCCCCTTCTCACGGGCAGATTTCAGTAAACTGTGGCCTATGTCCATATCACTCAATAGCAGCTGTGAAGGAAGCATTGGTTAACAGAAAACATATGCAAGCTCTAGCCTTTTTTTTTTTAACTTTTTTTTTTAATTCATTCATTTAATTCATTTTAATTCATTTAATTCATCAGTGAGAGGCTAACTATTTTTTTTTTTTTTAATATTGCTAAGGACACAGAAGGAACTGCTAGCGAAATTGAATGGACTTGTCATTAGAAAATTGCCTGGAGTTAAGGTGTGGTAAAGTAGAAGGAAGCATAAAAAACAAATACTTTTGTTCTGCACTAGGCTTGTGAAGATAAACACAGAAACTGAGGGCTATCAGGAGAGGATTTGTATTCCAAATTCTGGAATAGATGAAAATTTTCTCTTAGCATATTATGTTTAAGCTGCAGGATGTATGAAAAACTCATCTACAACTGTGAGATGAAACATGAGTTTTAGTACTGAGTTATTTCAATGAGGAGAAATGGGAAGTACTTGCCACAGTGCATACTGGTATAAAATATACATAACAGGATGCCTTGTGAGGGGAATTTATTTTAAGTTTTAACCTAAAACAAAACACATACAAACATGACTTATGGAAGGACAGGATTATATTACTTAGGACTATTCATAACCTCAACAACCAAACTGTGATCTAATGCGTATATGATGTGCAAACAGAAAGTTTTATACTGGGTGGTCTTTACCCTGTTAGCTTCTCTGGGCAAGGTGAAGTCAGAATTTTGAGCAGCTGTTAAGATGCATGTTAAAATATAGCCTCTTTTTGGTGAACGGAAAAAAAAATTGCATTCAAGAAAGCTGTACCTCTAGTTTCTGCACTTTTTTCTCCATTGCTGTTTTGTCAACCACGTCAAACTTGGTGATCACATTTCTGAAGTTCTTGTTAGTAGATCCGTACCAATTCGTGTAAGCACTAAAAGCCAATTCTGACTCCTCCATACAGCGTATTTCTTCTTCCAGAAACTTTATTTGCTCCTTCAAACAAATATGGAGGGTAGGGGGAGGAAACAAGAACCACCCAGATGTTTATCACTGCTCTTGACTAAAGATAGCAATAAATTGCTATTTATTAATCAAACCTGATATACCTAGATTAAACACATAGCTTCTGAGTTCTTTCATATCTAGTGGATAATTCTCACTGGGGTCTCGCCAGGGTGTACATATAGCAATCACTAATGTTAAAACTGAGTTAATACCAAACACTGAAAATGTACTTCTATTTTGAAATTTGAATTGTGACTTGTGATTATGGTACTACGACACTCTTACCACTTAAAGTGACTGAAGACTGTACCTTAAATGCAAATTTTCCCCACACCTATGTGTTTCAGTGATAACCTGAAAACATTTCTCTAGAGGTCATTCAGCACTCAAACATACTGAGTTCTGAATTTCTCTCCTGAAACTGCCAAAAAGATGGTAACAACATCTAATTAATACTGAATATTTTTTAAAGGGCATTATGCTGATTATGGTTCTCTAGTACATTTAGTCCAATGAAATCTACATGTATGTGTGTGTGAATGTATGTGAATATTATATTAGAGTCTACAGTAATGAATATACTCTGAGGAAGTCTAATTAAGAAAGTGTGTTGATATTTGCTTCTTAACTGACAATTTATGATGTTACAATGAATCAATTTTCATTACTTACCAAGACATGAAGAAGAAGAGTTTGGTAGCGAGATGCAAGCTGCGTAGCCTGGCTTCCCATTCTACTTGCAGTCAGAGTTTCCTCTAGTATTTGCTGAGCCAATACCCCAACTTCCTCCACATCATCTTTGTAGACTGTAATTTCTTCATGCCACTTCTATGACAAAGACATTATCCAGCTTATGTGACTGATTCAAACATCTTAAACACAACAGGAATTTATTTGTAACTAAGGAAATCATTGAAAAGGAAAACAAATACATGGTTGTAAACATGGATTTACAACAGGAAAATAAAACAGAATCTGATGAAGGTTAACATAACGAATATGCTGGAAGTTTTATCATACCAGACGGACTGCATTTCATTACAGTAGATTCAATACTACTTTTTTTTTCCCCCTCAAATAATAATAGAAACGCAACCTAGAGTTCCTATAGAATTTGCCCAAAGTTTTAAAGGTGACTGTAATGTGTAACCTTGTATCTCTTCAAATCTGCTTCCTGTGTTTATTCAGAACTATGTCTTCTCCTTGTAGTGACTAAAGGAGAATTATTACATCAACACAGCAGAGACTTCACAACACAGTTGGTCATATTTTACTCTTGTTACAACATTAACACTTTCCCACTCCAGGACCAATCTTTGTCCTCAGTTATGCCTTCATATACCACAGAGCGTATGAATTCCACACCTCCCTATGAGATTTCAACATTGGTATAGCCATACCTTTACCAATAAAATGGGAGGAACCTGGACCCAGAAGGCACGAAGCTCTTTTGGATCTATCATTCTAGGCACCATCTCAGAATAAACTGCAATGCTTCCTGTCATTTCCACAGTGCAACCAGGAACTGATGTGGAAACCTCACATGGTATTTTGCTTAAGGAATGCCTTAACTATATTCTTTACCTTCATTTGTTGAAGCTGCATCTCCTTTGTTGCTCTACCAGACTGCCTCCCAGTCCTGATAGCAACTTTCTCCTCCAGATCTGTTAGCCAGTCATTAAGCTTCTGAAATTTTTTCTCCATTAACCTCAGTCTGCTCACAGTGGCATTTAATTGGCTTCTTGCTTCAGAAAGCCTGTGCTGATAAACTTGCCAATCCTGCCGTAAGGATTCCAGGGCTCGGTCTTCTATCTGGGGAATGCCCCAGGGAATTACCTCCTCTCTGGCATGGACAGCAGCATTCAATAATGCTTGTCCTTCTGCACAGTGGACCTGCAGCTCCTGTAAAGGCAGAGTTATGGATACATACCCTACATTAACAGCTTTTATTCACACATGGCAAACGACACCCTGGTTCTACTTAGCACAAAAGCAGTTACCTCACATTATCTAGATATTGCCTTTTGTAATCTACGGTTGAACACATATTACACTATCTCTAAGAACACCTATGATGGCACGCTCCCTTACAAAGCAAAACGAATATTGCTATTATCGACAAGTGAATTGAAGAAAATTATTGACAAAGCATGCATTAAATTCTTTCCCCTCCTGCTAAGTTTATCATCAGTTCTGAAACATGAGCTGCCTGAGCTGGCATGGCATGGATGCAATCCATTCAGTACAGCCTTAAATTCAAACTTTCCAGCTGTGGCAAGCAGACTGTAAGAATGATTCTAAAATTGAATCTGTTTAAAAACAAGGAACAAGGTAAGGTTTCAATCTTTTAAAATAAACAAACCTATTTATTTTTACATATGTTTGAGACATCATTCCAAAATAATTCTTGATACCCTCTTCCAGACATGTGTGGCATTTTTATGCTTAATAGAACTTGATTAGAAAGCATGAAGGGATTCAATCCAATTAGAAAACATAACCAGGAAATCAGCCTGACAAGGCCTGACACTTCTTTCTGGAAATGAGTGATGTTTCCACTGATTTTACTGGAACCACTTTCGAGCAGCAAAGTACTCATATACAATGTGATGCCAAGCTGTTCTCAAGACAAAAAAGAGATGCAATTTTTGTCTAGTAATTAATATTTTTCTGTTATTTTACAGAGAGGATTTTATTTGGTTTTTTTTTTTTTACTTAGGGTGTCACACATTATGTACCTGTAAGTCTCGGAGTGTTGCCTCCTGTTTCTGGGCATCACCATCAAGATGTGATAAACAGTCAAGTTTTTCCTGTTCCTTCTCCAGCCATACTTCAAAGGTCTTCAGATTTCTTTGGTACTCTTGATGTAAGTTAAGCAGTCCTTCAGCCTTTGTTACTGCCTCCTGCTTGTTAAAACATTTACATATATGTGTATATATATCTTAGTGTTTCACCAAACCAAGAAAACATAAAACCCAGATTTCCATCAAGGTGAAAAGTTTGTATCTGATGCTGAGCTTTCCTAGCAAGAGTATTTGGATTCTGAGGAT